TTCTATACAAAACACCCAAAATGTTTTTTTTTTAGCGAAAATTAATTCCAGCTAAAATAAAGCCTTTTACAGTATAGAATTAGCTAGTACAGGTAATTGCTTTTTAACCAAACCTGTGAGAGGTTGTGGGGATGCATTCTTGGTGTGTAGATGTGTTTTTGATTGAGTTATAATATTGTGTACAGAGCACTGGTCATTACAATGGGATTTGGGCATTCACATTTGTTGATTGTACATTTTTATTATTTAATTACCCAATATTGTTGAACCATAAAGCACTTGTTTGGTTGCTATGGGTGATGAGAAACTTTAGTTAGTAAGGGCGGGATTATTTTGAAGGGACAACTAGTTCTTTATACAATTTTTCAGGGGGAAATAAATGGCATGTGTCAGATACATGCATCTTTGAAAAAATTATACCACCCCTGAAGTTTTAATGGCCTGTCCCTAATTATGACCTTCTGGTAAATTGTATGTGTACTTAGTTTTTCATTTTCAGTAGAGTGCACTTGAAGTACCTCTTGCAAGATATATGTCAGTGCAGATAACACAGAGGTACCACCTACTATAGTCATCAAGATATCATCACCATTATTACTGGTACCATTGTTAAGTGAGGCCTTTGGTGTTTGGAGGTGGTGATTAGAGTTATTGGGGGTGACAAACTGTGATGTTCTGATCACGATTAACTGAACTGGAATCATGAATGCCATATGATAACACCCCGAAGGATGCTCAATGTACGATTTTTTATTGATTCCCTGTTATTTGGACCCATTCCTAAAAAAAAATCAATTTTCCAATTTTGTCATGTGCCACAATACCAAATATACATTCATGGAATGAAATGGTTTTACAGTAATCACAAACAAGTAAAAATCATCAAACTTAAAACATGTGAATATATATATGTTGTATAAGTTTAGTAGTTGGGTTCTTGTGATTGTCGTTGTTGAACACTCGTTGAATGAATTGTTGTCACAGTATTCTAGAACAGAACAAGTAAAAATCGACATAATTGAACACTATGTGAATTATTGTCCCTGTACCAAAGAAGCCAATGATTTTGTCCTTGAATAATTATCGGCCTGTTGCATTGATTCATCTTGGCATTTGTTCTCAAATTTCTTAAGTCATCGATTCCACTCACACTGGATCCGCTTCAATTTGCCTACAGAATGAACAGGTTGGTAGAGGACGCGGTATCCCTTACTTTATACAATATACCGGTACTAAAAAATCTTGATTCGAAAGGTTCACCCTATGCTTGGTTTCTTTTTATTGGTTGTAGTTCTGCCTTTATCTAAAACATTATTTACCAAAGTATTAAATTTAGGGTTGCCAAGGAGTATTTGTGACTGGGTCTTGAA